ACCGCCGGAGGCACCCCTTGTGAGAGAGAGTCAACGACGTACGCCCGCACCTCCGCAATCGAAACGCGCGGACGCGCGCGCGCTGCCGAGTTCTCTCCTCGCCTGGCCGCGCGCGGCCCGACGCGACGATAGGCGACGCGGTCCGCGCCGCGACGCCAGCCGCGGAGATATTCAACCTGCCGGCCTCCCGGCTACGCGCTTAACCTTTTAAGTGCGGACCGGCCGATATACACTGCGCCTCAAAAGTCGCGGGTACGACGCGCGGCCTACGACGGGTGTAGCCACTCGGAGCGGAAGCTGGCTCGCCGGCTGAGCTTCGGGACGGATGTCTGATTGAGCGGCTTTCGTCTCTTCCCGGCCCGTCGCCGATGCTAATTTTCATTGCGGTTACGCGTAATCGATTAGGAGTAAGACGCATGCAACGGACCTCCTTTGATCGGGTATGAGCTATCTGCTCGGGATTAGAATTCTTCCGTTGTCTTAGGAAGGAACGACTGAGATTCATTGCGGGTCGGATGGTAACGGAGATGCAGAAACTGAGGGTGGAGGGTTGTTTCGAAGTATTTCGCGGTGCGCTTTCGATCCTTTTCCGTTGCAGCAGTCTGAGAGTGGGGCACCTGATTAGTCGTAGCGCTCGATTGGTAATAAGCAAATATAAATCATGAATATGGTAAATAGTAATGTGGCGAACGATGTTTTCATGGTAATAGTAGCATGATATAACGTTGAACAGTAGTTAAACGACGAGATTGCCGAAGGAAGAGCCACTCGGTTGATGAAACAGGCGAACTCTGCGCCGACCGATACCCGGCTCCCGGCCTCAACCGCGAAAGTGGGATCCTCAATGGAAAGGGTTAATTCTCTTGAAATGTATCGAAAGATCCGGTAGTTTTTTCGACGAATTAATGTCAGAGTGCGTTCGCGGTTTTGAAAGAGAGGCACGCTAACTATAATGTAGTATTTTAGTCGATTAGAAGATAATGCGGTTCAGTCGATTTTTCGATGCTTTCTGATTTCTGTGAATTTTAATTGAATAAATAATATCATTCGTAGCTGTTCAAGGATTTACTCGGTCCTTCTCTTTGAAACTGTAAGGGTTAAACATTTAAAGGGTTAACCACTCGCACTCGAGAATATTTTTCACAACAAATATTCATTATTTTCTGATGAAATGTCAATGATATTTTCGACAACTAACGTAAAGGAATACCTTGCATAAATTAAGTGACAGAATTATTTTATTTCGATGTTCCATGTGTTGATGCGTTATATAAAAATTTAATACTGAATTTTTGTTTTATCATTTTCTTGGATCAAATAAAATGATGACTGAAAGGCGCCTTCGAGAGCGAAAGGTTAATAATTGCAGAGAGAAGAAATCGAAAATGGGTGATTTCGAGCTGTCTGGTAGTTTTAGTGTCAAGATGCACGTGGGATTCTTGCCGTTTCCACATCCCCTATCTTCATCACAGCGAAAGGCGAGCCTCTTCCAGTCGTCTTGACCTGGACACAGGTCTGGACGCCGGAACAAGGATCGAAAGTGGAAGATTCTACCGTTCTCTTGCTCCTGCGACTTCCCATCGTGAGAATGGATGTATTGCTGAACGATGAACGCGTGTGTAATAGATGAACGACACGACTGTGAGTGTTTTAACACTAGAACTACCGAACGTTTAAACTGTCTTTTGAAAATGTCTTTGTGAAAGCTATACGCGTGAATTTATTAACATTTCAATTGGTTTATACTTTAGTTTAGGTATTAAATCAGCTTTTTTGAACATTTCTTAAAGAAGTATCTGTACGTTTGCAGTCGTTCTAAAAGAAGGAATCGGTCATTTTGATCTACCTGATAGTTCTAGTGTTAAATAAATGTTGAATTCATTGTAATACTCTAGACTAAATTGATTTTCTATAGTCCTCATCTTCATCTGCCAATGAAGTTATATATATAGTTATATATATATATAGTATTATATATCCTAAGTATACATGAAGCTAATGGATGGCAATGGAAGAATGTTCCAAAATGTGTGAGTGAGATGAATGCATTCGAATATATATATATTCCACGCGCGATTCAATTTAGGATTCATTATTTTATCGTCTCCGTTTTAGCGAATCGCCTCCTGAGCTTCTCTTTCGTCTCGCCAATCGCCATCTACTTTATCATTAACTAACGTCTTCCATTCTCTTATATTATTAGAAGCTACCCCTGGAAAATTCTTTATCCTGATTTGTTCCAACTTCGAACAAGGAATTTACGATTCATTGTTTTACTGCGAGCATTGACCGTTTGCACTCGGGAGGTAATTCTCAGTGATTTGATTTGATATAACAAAATTACAAAGTGTTGTATATATTATTAAGTTTCGTATAATGCACCGATATGTGAAATATTTATATAAAATACCTTTGTCTCTTAATCTAATCGGAAACTGTCGAATCTTCTTTTATAACTGCGCTTACAATCATTATTTTCGTATTAATCATTTACTAGAAACAAAGGGGAATTCCACAGTCATCTACGATTATTTCGAAGTGTAATGATTGATAACAGAAATATATTTCATTTGCATCGAAGGGAGATTCAATTACTTTCGTTCATTTCAATTTGAAATCTTCATTACGAGTTCAACACGATATTCTGTGGCAAGAGGTTAATACTGTTAGTACCAGAGGCTGAAATTAATGGGGCTGCGCCGGAAAATGTTTAGCCTTCGTTTTAAAACGTTTGTATCTTTTTCATAAATTGGCAGATGGCTACTGACATTAAGCTTAAGGATTATATGTATATTGTACAAGTATAAAAAAAGAATTGAAGAAAAAGGGACTCATATTAACCCTTTGCACTCGGAAGTTTCTCACTAGAAATATTTAACACTTTTTGACGACACAAAGGCGATATTCTTTGAAACTAACTCGAAGGGAAATCACGCGTACATTGAGGAACGAATCTATTTCATTCGAATATTTCGCGTATCGAAGCATTATAC